AATCATATAACAATCGATGGACCTCATTAAGACACATCGAATAATGGGTAGTTTCAACGGAAATCTCCCACCAATACAATGACCTTCAGCAGCCAAGCTGAATAAAAAGATGTATTTAAATTTTGATTGTCTTGATAAAGTTTTTTTATCATAAGTTTGTAATGCTACTTTTATAATGTTTTTATGGTTTTTTTCAAGAGTGAAAACTAGTAAATATAAAAAATGAACAGGATGAATACAATAGAAATCTCTTAGCGTGGAAATCGAAGGATGCGGACAAAATTTAAGGCTCTATTTTCTTATATGTTCCCTACAGTTTTTAGTAATTTTGCCACACCAAAAAAATTGATCCTGGTCCGCCGATGTGTAATCAGTACATATTCATATGTGTATATATACATTGTACATTTACACGATATCACTATCCATATGTATGGAAAAATATCAAAGAAAAAGAAAAAAAAACAACTCATTGATTGATTTATTACTACGAATGTTCGATTTTATTCTCTTTCACAAAAGAAGAAAAAACCAAATATGATCATTAAAAACTATTAAATTCGATATTCATCTCTTTTATAAACATACATCAATCACATACAAACCAAAGACATTCTGAAATATTCGAAATGACAGGATGAGTCAGTCAGTTGCATTCTTAACATAGAGTAATCAAGCACGATATCTAATCTGATTTTCTTTTATCAATGTAATAATTGTTATTGAATATCAACTTTTCTATCGAAAGAAATTACTCATCCAGTTGAATGCCAAAGCATTAAAAAAAATAATAATTTTGTTTTTTTTTCTCATTTATTATCTTAACAATTAACTCCAAATATCTTAGATAAAATTGTTATGCATCATAGACGTAATCATATTTTATAGATAGTTATGCAATTAAAATTTCTCAAAATTAGTAATAATAATTTTTCTCATCATAATTACGATCACATTGAATAACTTATATTTGCTTACTATATTTGCAAAAATATTGAATAAATCAACAATATGAAATATAGCGATGATCTTGTCGACTTGTTTCAATTCTTGATTATCGATTAAGTCTAAATTAAATAAATATATTTTGAAGATTTTAATAAAGTTTTAATAAATACAAATCAATCGAATTCGATTGAAATTTAAACAAAAAAAAAAGACCGATTAATTGAATATTATCAATTGACTCTGAATATAGTTTTGTTAACAAAAAAAAAGAATTCAATTTAACGTATTATTTTTCTTAATCAATTATAAAACAAAATGATGATAATAATAGATTTCATTCGTTAAATTCATTTTAAAATGTTCTTCCATCTTGATAATGATTGTTTTTTTTTTAAATTATCCATTCAAAAACTTCGTTTATCGATCAGTCATTTTATTAGGAAAACTTAATAATAAACAAAACGAAAATTTATCTATTTCATATAAAAAAAAAGGCTCTGCACTTCTGATAAATTGACAATAACATAAAGATACTCAAGAAACCAAAAAAAAACATTGGACTTCATTAAAATCATTTTAATATAAATGTAATTAGCAATAAAACAAATTTTTTAATGGTTTCAAGACAAAAAATATTTTTGTCTATCAGTAGAATATTAATAAAGGAGCTAAAATTAAAATATTACTTTAAACTTTAAATAGTAAAGTAAAAATGATATAGTTTCATATTTCAACTTACAAAAAAAAATCAAAATTAAAATAATAAATTACTTTTTTTTTTTCATTTCTTATATTTTATATTTTAATAAAATTTTATAGATTTTATTTCAATATCGATAAGTCCGTATAATAGCATGAAATTCAAATAAACTTCTCTATTTCATCTTATGCTTTATAACTATAACCTATGACGTGTTACAGATACCTTTCAGATATTATGAAAACGTTTTTTTTTTCTTTCTTTCTGTTCTGTTTATATTCTTTACGAATTAATAGAACGAAATATTTTTAATCAGAAAATATCATATGTTTTTACAAATTTAATCCATTAATAGGAGAGAGATCTGAGAAGTCTTTTTCAAAGATCGAAATGTTAGTTTTTCTTTTTTCTTTTATTTCAAAGTCGAACTATTATATTTAATGAAAATAGATTCAATACATATGTATAATCCTGTTATTATATCAAGTACCATTTAGATGTAGATTATCGATTGAAAAATTTGATTATTATGATTTCGAAATTAATAAAATTTTATTTTTCTATTGATAAATTTTGTACTTTTGAATAAAACAAAATTTTCATTATTTGTTTTTGGAAAAAATTTAACTTGAAATTTTCTAACTTTCAACTATAATAAATTTCAACAAGATTTTGAGAAAATAATATCAAATTTAAAGAGAAATATCAATCTAGTGTCATCATGAATTTTTTGTATTATTATTAAACAATTACAGGTCACATGAATAACATTAAAAAAATGTTAAGTTTTTTCTTTTTCTTTTTTTTATGAAACTAATAAATAAATTTTACACCTTTTATAAGAACTCAAATGTTCCCATTGATTTTATCATGAAAATATAATGTTACTCAGACTTTTTTAATTTTTTGATGAGTTATGTCAATTTAGACATATTACTCATTCATATTGCAAATGTCTGACAAAATAAAAATTCGTAAAGGTCGTGTTGATCGAAGAAGCATAAGAAATTGAGGAAAACTATTCGCTGGAAGATTTCGTGGTAACCAACAAAGAAATATGAAACCAATAAAAAAAACTGCTAGATCAATAACTCCACCAATATCTCGAATTAATGCTTTTGGTGTAAAAAATCAACCATGTGCAAAAATTTTTAATGTTAATTCAACACTCATAAAAATAACAAATAGATATTCGGCTATCTACGAAAAAAAACAAACAAAGAAAATGAATCAATAAATAAAAATAATAATAATAATTAGTTATATACTTGTAATAAAGGTTGATCAACAACTCGATTAAGAGGTGTGTTTCAAATGACATCCTAACTGTTGATAATATTGTTCCAAGTATGATAATCCAATAAAGATATGTAACTAAACCAAGAAATTTACTAGAATAAAATACATGATCGGTTTTGAAAAAAAAACGGAGAAAGAAAAAAAAAGAAGACTTACTATCCTTGTTTATATCGACTAATTTTTAATTCTTGTCCAAGAGAATCTTTAGTTTTAACATTATAACGAGCTTCTACAAGAAATTGACAAAATTTTCGAAAATTACTTTCACGTCCAATTATAAATAAAGGTCTATCAAAAGATGGATGATTTTCACGAAGATCTTCTTCCTCTTGATTTCTAAACAAAAGAATAGAGATTTCATTTATCTCAAAATCATATCTTTTCATATAATTACATCGGCAAAATCACATCGTTAACAACATGATTTTCCATAAATAAAACATGTGTATCTCGGGATGATGAACTTTCCTAGAACTCTATTTTTATATATGTTACATGTATGTTAAGATACTCTAAATATCCTAAAGATATCAATGTGCTCGAGATTTTTGCTCAGATGAGTTATCAGTAAAAACAAAAAAGCTAGCGTTAACGACATGGTAGAATAAAGAGAAGATAGACTCTCATTTGATGAATTCTAGCTTAAAACAGCTCTGCATTGAGAGAGTACTAAATAGTAGATTCTATTGACAGTCTCTATAAAAAATATTCTATTGAGCATGAGTAGATTTTTCCAAAAAATTCGTTTACTTTTCGCAAGTGACGTTATAGAGTACGAATATACAAACAAAAACAAAATTCTCTTATCACTCAATGAGAAGTTGAAAATTTAATTTCAAATAGTCAAAACTCTTCTTCAGAATCTCTAGTTAATGGTAAAAGCAACATTTTTGTTTCAGAACCTGACAAGATCTCTAGAAAACTAAGATTTTACAAGAAGGTTTTTTTTTTAAATTCGATCCTTGTATTTTTTAATAAATAGTCACTTGAAAATGGCAACATTTTGTTTTAGATATGTTGATGTTAAAAGAATTTATTCAGGAAAAACTAATCCTTATCAAGAATCAAAGTCAAATGAAAGATGGATATGTTCTCTATTGTTAGGAATAGCTTATTTACCCTTTTATTTCAGCTTGTTGTTTTCGATATTGAAATAGTTTGATATCATAATCATCATGATTTCGACCAATATATCCATTTTCATGTATAACATTTACTGGTTTTGATCGATAACCTGAACGACGCATCGAATTTCTATTGAAATATTAAAAAACAAAACAAAACAAAAAAAAGTTCAATAGAAAACTTAAATCAATAAATGATTTGTTTTCGTTGTTTTTTTTTTCTTTACTTTCGATCAAGTCGAATCTTATTTTGTTCTATGAATATTGATACTTTATTATCAGCTATACTTGCTAATTCTACTTGATTAGCATCACCACTTAATAAACGTTGATTATTTACATTTCTATAATATTCTTCTATTTATATACAAGAACAAAAAAAACTAATTTAAATAAATCTGATTATATTGTTTACAGCTGTTCGTTTCATAGTATCACCTATTGATCGATTTTCGGACGTATGTTATGTTTTAACTGTATATTTTTTATTATATAAATCTATTGAAAGTTCAGGATAATATGAATTAATATCATCTTTATTAAGAAATTGACGCATAAAACTATCACGAATTTTTCGAATTATAAAATCATGTGGTAAGACGTGATAATTCAATCATTTGAGGATGATCAGGAATATTTTCAAATACACGTAAACGCCATGGTAATTTTTGTTGAATTTCTGCACTAGTTTCACGTGTTTTTAACTTAAACAAAAAATAATAACAATTACACTTTGGCACAAGTTCTAATTACAATCAAATGTTCGGAGAATTTTTATATAAGATATTTGTTTTACTTTTGACTTGATCAAAAGTATTTCCGACAAGTCAGAAGCTATGAATTAGGATGCTCTTTCCAAATATTAGTTTAGAAATTTTGTTCGACAGTAGTGAAATAATCTTTGAAAAGCTCAAAAACTTAGTTTAGATGAAACTTGTTGAGCTGAAGTTTCTGGTGAACATGTTTGTTCATGTTAATCTCCTTGAAAGCATCTCAGACAAACCAAAAACTATAGATCGCGGTTAGAATTTGGATACGGACTTCGAAATATTCTGTCTATTTTTGTTCAAGAGTAGTGAGTGACTTTTTGAAAGATCTAAAAATCATTTTAAATGATGAGCTAACAAGTTTTTGTTTATACTATAAGTCTGTTTTTGAACATGCTGAAAATTGTCGCAGTCAATCATTTTGTAGAGCGGACAGTTCTCTGACTCAAGCATTTTTGTTCAATAGCTCCTTTAAACATAAAACGGATGTCGATTTTTCAGAAATGAACATTTAAGAAAAACGAAAATTAAGGTGCCTTGTCAGAAGAGAAAGTCTTCGACTATTGCGTTGTTGTAAGGTAGCTCTTCATCTACAAGCTCATATATAAATAAAGATCGCAACTTTTAGATAGAAAAATCTTCTATATAAACTTATTTTTGTTGGCTTTTCAAAGATGATCTCACCATTCTCAAAAAAATTCATTCTACAGCTATTCGATAGAGAATTTTTGCGCTCTGTGTTTTCACGATCTTTTCAAGGTTTCTATTGTTATCGTTGATAATAAATAGTCATGTGTGATTGCTAAGTTGAAGAGTGAAAGCAATTAGGTTGTATCGATTGAAAAAAGAAAACAATCACTTTATCCTGTTAGAGAAGGGTATTTGTCAGAACAATTTTTATT